GTCTAATGCGCAATCGCTCTTCGGATGGAATTGTCGAGTCGAATTGGTACGTGAATGGTGCAGTCGGGTAGGCAAAGGTATGACTCTATGATTTCTCAGGGAAACAGATTCTCCGGTTTATATGTGTGTATGGTGGGAATGGGTGAGCTAGAGGGGTGGTGCATGACGGGACAAAGGAGCTTTATAGGAACTGAATGAGGAACACACAGCAAGCACATAATATCTGGTCTTTGTTTTACCCCCTAGGTATCCGTCCATGTGAGGTGCTTCCCTCCCACAGGGAAGGAGGAAGAGCAAGGATGGGATTCTCGGCTGCAAGCAGCAGCTATTGCGCGACCTTTCCCAACTACGGCGCAAGTCATCCTTGGCCTTGCCTGACGTAGGGTGCGCCAGCCAAAAAAGTTGATCACAAGGTCAATCATTCTTTTCTTGCAACAGGCTCCTTGGCTGGCTGGTTTCTCCACATACGCGCCATCCCCGGGGGTGTGCACGCCTGCGTTCGCTGCTCACGCACGGCCTCGGCGATGAACGACCTTGCTTAAGCTTCCAAGCTTGTTGGCCTCTCGGTCCACCGATCTGTCCAGGTGCTCTTCCATAAATTTTCTCTCTCTTTCTTGCTGTCCACTATAGCGGTGGAGAATGTACCTACGTCTCAGACCGCGCTGGCGGGAGAATAGGTGGGCCAGACCTGAAAAAATTCTGTAGCTGGGGGAAGAGAAAAATTGAAACGAGGCCTCGATTCTCACAGGCGTTGGCGGAGAGTCATGGGAGAGGGGAGGGGTGTACCGTGTGTGGAGGGGCAAACGTTGACAAACTAAAACGTAATGAAAATAACGACATCCAGTGGAAAACACCACGCACCCGCTGAATAAGACCAGGCACGAACAGCGTTTCTTCCCACCCCCGGCTACTGGACCCCAACAGGTAAAGTCCCGAGGGGGTGCCATTGTCGTTTTACGGTTTACCTGGGAATTCGAGTCACTTGATGGCAATTCTTTAGCCGCTCGCTTCGTGCCTCATGGCAAACACGCGAGAGGGGAAGGTGCTGCTGCGTGTAAGTGTAAGTGTGAAACGCACATTCGGTGTGACGGGAACCAAGACGGAGAAGTGTACATCAGGTATTCGTAACTTAAGGAAGGACATTCACAAAGCAGGGCTAATTCGCTGGTTTATGCAATAAGGAAAGAGAAAGGGTCGATCGGAAAGGCATCGCGATATTGCGCTTCGGCGTGCAGTCCAGGCGCCAGCGGTAAAGAATTGAGAGGGGGTCTGCAGTGCTGCACTATGCAGTCCTACCCCGGATTTTTTTTGCATGCTCTTTGGCCATGGGTTTACTTCGCACTACGGATACTTGAGGTTGCAGGAACCACCTACCTACCCCGGCGTCGTTTGATCATTTTGTGAACACTTGACTTGAAAAACCCACCCTCTTGGCCTGTCTTTCCTGGCAGTGCCTCGGGATTGCGCAATTCCATTCGTAGCCCGTCCGCATCGCCTGGTCCGGAGCGGTCGTGAAAATATGGTAGTTCTAGGCTGGGGGCGGCAGTGTTGGCGGTTGCTTGGCAATTGCGCGAATTTCGTCCCAGCCGAAGAGCGAAGGCGAAGAACCTAGGTAGGCCTGGGCGAGCTGTAGGTATGAGAAAAGCTGGGGCAAAGGAAATTTCCAAGCAATTTGCGCTCCCCGTCATTGTGCATTCCCTGGGCTGTTCTTCCTCTTTAAGGCCCGGTGGCTTGTCTGTGGGACATGGTCTCGCTTCTGGGTGAGTAAGAGAGGAAAGTAGCAAAGTGCCGCGACTCATTTCTTTCAATGATTCCCTGCCTCATTCGTCTCCTCGCCTAGCAGTCAAATCTATCAGAGTACTCGGTAAGTAGACTTTCTTATGCATTACGGAGAACTGGATATTGATACCCGCGTGATATCTACACTAGCAGATGTTACCCCAGATTTCCCAGACATATGGTCGACGGGGACAGTGGTGATGATCCTACGTAATGATAACTCTGCCGAACAACCAGCCAGTCAGAAGCTCAATTTCTAACATCCATTCAGGAACAAGGTAGCCGCACGCGCGCGGGGAATGCGACTGAATTGGAGTTTTTCGCTATAATATTTGATATGCCGCTCTGCAGACTTCTGACTTGCTTTGCATCTTCGCCCCCTCGGCCCTTCGCCTCGAGCTGGCGGGCTTCGGTAAGTTCTACACCCAAGCTTTCCATTTTTTTTTTTGCTCCGGAGTCCGAACAAGGTCCAAATTGGCTTTCCGAGCTAGCGGGAGCGGCGACACCGAAAACTCGGTGTTGGTCCCTGAGATCCTTGGGGGGAAACAGAGAACTACGTCAAAGTAGCCACATGATGGAGCTCTTCAACTCGTCATGATTGGCTCTTCCCACCTGGGATCATCACCAACCCATCATTCAGTATTCTGTACGGGATACAGAGGTACGAAAACTCCGTACACAGTTCGGCCCAGAAGTAAAAGTCTGCCCAAGTCTTCTGCCCGGCCCGTTTGGTCGGTCTGCGGCCTGCCCCGGCCATGCTGCCCCAGGCCCCGGCACCCGGCGATCTGCATTCCTGGAAAATTTTCCGAAGGCATGGTCGTCGTTGGGCGAGGTGGTCGTGAAGAGCGGGTGCGAGGGAGTTCGGCTTGGACACCCTTAGTATTCGACACCTGACCATGTCACTTTCAAGTGCTTGGGCATGGCTTCTGAGCAGGTCCTTTGGTTTACATGACGCAATACTCCCACAGTCACACTGTGGCTAGTGATTATGAGCACTGAGCTCGACGGGCAACTTGGGACAGAAATGAACGGGAGATTGGATTATGTCAGCCAAGGCACCTCATCATCCCTCGTGCTTACCTAAGGCTGGCAGTCGAGTAACATAATCACTTCTTCACGTGGGATATCAGAGGATCAGCTCTAAGCCGCTCCGAAGTCCAGCATCCAGAAATCTGGGCACATTCATGAACCGTGAATTCCTTGGACAATGCCATGCAAAACGGGGATGGAAAAAAATCGATTCCTATTCTCTGGTGGAAACAGAACGGCATAGGATATTGAGGCTTTGCAATATAAAGTCTCATAAGACTAACTCCCTACCCCATCTCAGCTCTAACATAGATAAGTCGCTTGCCATTCATTTCAGGCCCCTCAGAAGCTGCTTTTGAGCACCTGACCTAGTGAAATACCTGCAGCATTAAAACAACTTGGAAACCCACAATTCTCTAACCACATCGCTCATGTTTCACGATCTTGAAAGGAGGGCTAGGCCACTGTCGACAAACCATTTACTCTCCGAAGCATAGGATCATTCCCTACATCTCTCGTTGGCCATGAATACCTTCACCTCTACGCCCGTCTTACGCGGATTGGACGCGATTTGGCCGGCTAGGTGATTCAGTGCCATAGTGACACAAGCCTGCCCCCATCTTATGGGGGACTAGGGTATCATGAATTCTTGTGAATGGCTTCTCAGTCGCGACTTCAGTCACAGCCCTGCTTCGGGCTTGGATGATCCAGCTCGTCTCTTGAAATAAAATTCCTCTGTAATGAGACCTCGTAACTTCAGAGTACAACCAAGCTGGTTCGACTAGATATGTTGAGTACTTTGCGTTGCCAAGGTTTTGACCAGCTGCCTTGCGGACCTCATCTTGGCCAGCGACTGTTATTAGATATACAATCGTCTCACCATATGTCGCCATCGTCTTCATCAGGAAGCCTGGCTTGCACTCATTCACCTGTTGGTCAGCGGAACTTCCCACACCTCATCTGATGACCTGCCCAGATCATCTCGTGGCTGAAGTCAGCCCTTCTTCCCCTTGTGCGACTTGGACTTTGTGTTCCCAAGCCCGTCAGCGACGATGATCCAGCCATGCCGGATGTCGGCCTACCAGTATCGCCGTGTAGGACGCTCAAGCATGCTTCGAATCGAGGGCTACCACGGGAAGAAGACGGACTCGGGCCATGCTCGTCTGGCCGAAGCCACAATTGACGCCGCCCGAGCTTCCCGAAAGACCTCTTGAATAACGCGATCAATTCTCGAATCTGAGATACAGCGTCATCTCCGTGTCTACAAATCTCGCTTCTTCTAGGGTATCACAGTCGGTTATATAGCAATATCAGCCGAGTCCACTCTCCCTTCCCGCCGTCTCAATGGCTGCAATAACCGACTTAAACGAAGACCCGAGTCAATGTGCAAACTGAGCCGTTGGCGAACCTGATTCTCGGGTTCTGCAGGTAACCGTGGCTGAGCGGTGGCGTTCTCACAACGTGAGCCACCCTACCTATTACATCGGACGGCTGCTGTGATGTGATCAGCTGGCGAGACACTCGCGTACTCAATCCCCTGGCCAGACCTAGGCCGAGACAACGAGAAACATGTCACGGGCTTGACATGATAGTAATTCTGCGCCCGCCAGACACGACCAGTCCGTCATCGGTTACCAAGTGCCGGACAGACGAGACTAGCAATGCGGGAGACACTAATGCGACGCGGCATGGGCGGGTTCGCGGGTTCGCGGACGGGCGGGCAAACCCTTTTCGACGATAACATGAAAGTGATCAACCATACATGAGCCCAAGTCGGACCTGTCTCCGTCCCTTGGATTCGGAGGTCAACAAGTTCGGCTCTCCCCTCACTTGTCTCGGCGAACGCTTGGATAGCTTGGAAATAGAAATGACCTTCCACGGACGGTGATCGCCTCCTGGGTATCGTCGCCGTTGCGGGTCCGCCGGAGAAGGGGGACAGAATCAGTACTGTCTGAGTCGTGTCGTTCCCCCCTTAGAATGTCTTTGAAGTCGCCATTGAGGGGCACGAGGGGGAACGGGAAATGGGGGAAGCTTCCGACCCCGTTGATGTTTGGTGCTTTGTAGTGCTGGCGCTAAAACTCACCAGCGATAGCTGACGATCCCCCATCCGAATGCAGCCAGATACTACATGAATCAGGCCCTTTACCAGCCATCCGTGTGTTTCTCTTCATCGACTGTTAACGCATTACCTAGTGTCAACGTCGAGTATTTGGAGGCGAACCCCCCGTCATTGGAGAACCGCTCACCTCGAGCTTGCGATTGTGGCTTTTGAGTTCGTCGTTGGCTCAAAGCCATCTTTGTGTCGAACGGGTCAAGGCAGGCTCGCAATTGTGGGTTTGTTCTGGGCATCTATACCATGCTTCCCCCCTTCGAAAGCCGCATGCGGTTCAGTGGCTCTCGGGACTGGAATGCCTCGTCGTTCCGACAGACCACCGCGCCGGCGATATAGTCGTGAGTGAACCCCTCCCTGTGGAACCTTGCCAGTGCCCTTGATTTTGATGGAGGGTCGGAAACTGATTCATCGAAAGAAAGAAAGAGAAAAGAAGATTCTGGGGTTGGAAAAGTATCGCCATCATCCGGTCATCAGCGAGCCTTACATTCTTGACACCAGCTTGGCGGGCATTCCGCCGGAGGCACCGCCGCGATGGCTATGCCACTCAGCACGAGAGCAGAGTGCTGGGTTTGGTACGGCCTGGCGATTGGTGCGGTCGTAATGAGATAGTGAGTAAATCATTTTCGATATTTCCCAAATCCAGTCTGATACTGATATTCCGATTCAGTCAGTCACAGTACCTCGTCCGCAAGCGCAGGTTCTTCGACAAAATGACTATAGACGACATATTGATGGCTATAATAGTCGTAAGTCTTTGCATCAATCCTGCCGCAGATATCTATAATGCCCATAATTGATCAAAGGTGTTGCGGCTGAAGCTAACTTGCTATCTCTCAGCTAATATACACTACCTCGATCTCCGCATTATACATCTACTTTGACATCGTTGCGACGACCGACTTTGACGCCCTCACTCCGGATGAGTATGCCGCAGTTGGTCGCAAGATGGGAATACTGAACATTCTATCCGAAACATCGATGCAAACAACACTTTGGGGTAATAAGTGTTGTTTACTGCTATTATACAATCGCCTGACGTACGTGTCAATCCCATTTGCCATCGCTTTTATAGCACAAAGTGCTCACTGTTAGCAGTCTCTTTGGCCATTATCGAAAGACTTGGGTCAGCGTTGCAGCTTACACCGGGCTTGCATACGTTGCAGTCATCGTTTCACTATACGGAGGGTGGTGCAGGCCATTTTCCGAGTACATGGAGCTTCAGCCAGAAAACGGTGAGTCTCTTCCTAGACTGGAAGCCGATGGCATGAGATCAGCTGTTCCACGAACATCTTATTGGAAGGAAGCTGACTCTTGCTTCTTCAGCGGAATGCTTGACATGGAAGAACTACAACATATTGCAAATCACGATGAACCTATCGACGGATCTGGTGCTTCTTCTAATCCCGGTCACATTAATCAGCCGGTTAAAGATGAAAATCGGAAAGTACGTACGCCCTTTTCGTGTTGTGTAGACGACAGGATCTTAATCCAGGATAGAATTTGAATGCTAAATGCGATATCGCTACAGGAAACTCCTTCTCATCTGTCTCTTTAGCATGGGCGTATTCGTTGTAAGTTCTATCCTGAAGAGGCCCCGTCTCCTCCCGTCATACAAGTCTCGCTTTGCTAACTAACGTCTCTCAAACAGATGCTTTGCGCAATCCTTACCAAGGTCGCCGTATTCACCTACTCAACCGACTTCGTCTGGTTTATGTGGTGCGTGCGCGAGACGAGTACCGCGATGCTAGTCGGCAACCTCGTCCTCGGAATGCCCACCCTGCGTGCCGCGTGGCGGTGCGTCTTCCCGCAGAGCAGTATCACGCCTTTGCGAGATGGAGAATCCTCTGCGGGTACGGGGGAGACGTACGCGACGTATAACACGGCGAAGAAAGTCTCCCGCGTCGGTTCGGACGCCTGGTCGGCCGGGGAGCAACAGCACCACCACGGAGGCGGTCCGTCTCAGTGGAACTCGCCTCCCGCCGCCAGAGCCGCGATCAGTAGCGTCTACACGGATTTTGAGCTTTACGGGAAGGCTGGAGCCAAGGGGGAGAGTAGGAGGTTGTCGATGGGGTCGGAGCATGTATGATATGACAGGGTTGGCAGGGTACACTCGACTGGATGCGAGGACTGCGGCTTTATAATATTTAATGTTTATACGCAGTACCGGATATAAACGGATTAATCCCATTCCACAGGACGAGACGAACCATCCTCGGAATAGCCGCCTCGTGTTCACTAAATAACCGGCTAAGGTTCCTCTAAACTTAATATGCCGCGATGAATGTAGATCATCGCGGTCTGGCCACATTGGCCAGAAAACTGTTGATCTATACGGCACCTTCGTACTGGTTCAGTTCGACACATGATACCCGAATATGGATATGTGAGACTTTTTGTCTCTGTTGCCATGTCTCCGTCGGGTGTGAAATCAGCTTCTTCCCCAAGTGCAAAGCAGCGAGGTTACCAGTAGCAACAACCACGATAGGCCAGATTTTCTGAGTCAAACATCATTTTCCTGAATTTAAGTCTGTTGAAGCAAAAGTCTCGTGTATGTTTCTAGGGCCTCTGGCTGGTCTTGGTGACAATTCACGTATTATCTTATACAGGTTTTGGTAGATTCTGTGCCGAGCTTCGAAGCTTGTTATCGCTTCTACTCACTATACGCGCGATCTTTCCAAGTCGCAGCCATGGCGGTTGACGGAAGGATCAGTGGCGAGCTCAGTGGTGGTCTCACACCTTAGTCCTTGTAATCTGGTGCGGGTTTGGCTGTTCGTGGGTACCTATGGGTTATCACGATTTGGGTTCCCATAGGTAAACGGGACTTAATGGGTTTTGGGTGACTGTGAAATTGGGGATCCAAAGTCTTCAAGTGTCGAACTGGAGACACTCGTGGGTTTCCGGGTAATCACCAACTGGGTCTCCACGGATTTGGATCCCATGGGTAGAACTTCAGCAACTCAGGTTCTCATTGTTTGTTCGCTACTCATGGGTCCCGCGACTTTGGGTCCTTATGGGTTGAGGATACCCATGGGTCATCGTTTCCATCTAGAAGCATCACTTATGTACTTGTTCATAGCCTACTGTGCAACCGGCAAAGAGCGCGGTCACGTTTTGGTATAAGTTGCTATCCTCGTAAGAGGAAGGAGGTCTACTGAGATGGTCCCTGTAAAGTCCATTTGGACACCAGAAAACTCTCAAATAGAGCAAAGGAAGGCAGATGCTACAGGACACACCCTTGCTTGTCCCTCTCACTTCGCTGGAGTATCTTGGTCGTCACCGACCTTAGCAAGAAGACCAAACTAGCAAAGATTCGTTATCCACTCACTCCATCAACATCCAAAAAGCAAAAGAACATACAACACCAGGTATTCGCTGGTCGTCACCGACCCAACTACTAATCCGGCCCTCATTGGCTTATCTATGGGAGAGCGGACGGGATCCCGAGTTTTCCAATGGGTATGGTCGTGTGTGCTGAAGTGAGGGCATCGTGACATCCATGGAGGCCACACAGCACTACAGAGCAAGGAAATCACAACCAACATTCGCACAAATATCAGTCACTGCGATAGCTATACGGAGAGCTTTGAAAATAGATTGGACTCTTTTTCTTGAATTTTGCTGTTTCGACGTTTCGCCTCTCAAGAGTAAGAGTAAGGGGGAGTTTTGTGGAGGTAGGTTGCTCAGTCGATTATTTACCTCTACCTCGTCTACTCCCTCAACAGCTAGAACCACGACTCAAATATATCTCTAATCCTTGAAGTGAAGGCTATTATCGTAGACTCCAGCAAGCTTGTAACATACTAGTTGATATAGGAAACTGGAAGATGCGATCGCCGAAGTTAGCCTCGGTGTAGTTACGCAAGCTCAAAGTACCTGCCTCGAACTGTCTTTGTATCTCGCAGAAACAGTAGCAGTTCGGTAACAATTACTTCATGTGAAATACACTGCTAACTACGCTTGCAGAATGTTGCAAATCAGCCCAGTTACCACGCGTTTAGTCGCAGACAAATGCCTCCTTAATCCACCGCACTTTTTGGAGCATACGCACACATTACTCCTCAATACGGAGTTGGCAATCAAAATCACCGCTCTTCAGAATTGATGGCATAAATAGTAGGTTCCAATCCGGGTCAGTAGATTAGAGCCGGCAGACCATTCGGACATACCTGGATCGCCACGCCAGCCCAATTCAATAAACACACTTCAGAGGGACTTAGCAATTGGAATTGTGCTAGCTGAAGTGATTTCTCAATCATTAAGCGTAGTTTGCATCACGTCTAGTGTAAAGTACCAAATCCTCGATGTAGCTAGGAATATGATGGGTAGACTCTAGCCGAAGCATCAGACATAGCAGGCTATGCACAGTGTAGAATAGAAGAACTATCACACCATGGTAAGTAATAGCCGTGATGATGTGGTGAGAATTGATATTCTGACTTGCAGGCTCATTTCCACGTCTCCGTCGTCGAGATGTGTTTCTCGCCCAGGCCCGCAAGCCACCTCACTATGAGAGTGTATCTGGCCAAGTCGGAACTTCAACACAAGCGCAGAAGGTTGTTCAAAAGGTTTCACTTCGCGCCTTTGATAACAAGAGCTTACGCTTGCTCATTATATACGAAACTCCGCGCGGGCCTCTGAAAAGAATATCTTTCGTACATCGAAACCCATGCTCCTTCCTGCTCTTTCATAGCGACATGCTAATAACTACAAGCTCAAGTCCTGGATCAACGCTCTCAACAGAGCTGGCCCTCCTCCTCTCATCCGGCTGAGGAACCCGCCGCAGGCAGAGGCGGGTGCCTGAGCTGTGCCATACAAAAATTCAATAACGTGATGCCAAACGCCAGGAAAACCATAATGTGTTTTTGATGCCATGCTCTGCACATTCCAATAACCCCCTTCTCCATATTATTACAATGCGATCGCGCCTCGTCTATTCTCCCGGACGTGGAGAAGGCCCTGGAAGCCGCAGAAAACGAAGAAACCCTAGTGTTGGCGGTTAGTAACTTGGTTCCCCACAAGCGCGTGCATTTGTTGCCGATATGTGTAGGAGGAGGGTGCGTGACGTACGATGTAGATCATCACAGACACGAAGATGGTGCCCGCAACAGCGCCGCCGTCCTTGGGGTCTTCCTCGCTACCGACGAGCTCGGGGTGGTTTTGCTTGAATAGAATGCCGAGAACACCGAGGATAACGATCGCGAAAACGGAGATGACAGTGCTATCGAATGAAGGCGAATTAGTATTGGGAAGCTTGGCTCAAGGGGAATGCTGCATCGGGGGAGGGCGTACCATTGCCATGCTTGCATGGCACTGACGACAGGCTTCATGTTTGCGGTTTGTGGCGGAGGCCTGATTTCTTGGCTGTATGTCTGATGAAGCACGAATGCGAAGTCGTTGGGTCGTGATGCGTGTGGCGGCGTCGTTGGCAGTGATCGCGAAGGTCGAGGCTGTTGCTGCTACCTATCTCGCCGAGCTCCACACCAGTTCGGTGACGTCCAATAAGCTTGCCTGACTTACCAGGCTTGAAGTTACAGCCACTGTCCAGTCCAGCCACACATCAGTCAGCCGTTCACTAGCCGCACAAGGACGGAAGAAAGACCCGCCGAATTTACCGCCCGGCCACGCCTCGGCGCGGGTGGGGCCGCTCGCAAGTCTGTGCCCGGACCTCTGTTCTGCAACTCAATCATTCTATTCCATATGGCGGATACATGCTCATTTTCACACTAAAGCAGCTTAAGATTCGAGATCGATATGTACCATCAGTCAATCTGCAATGGCTCTTTAGGAAAATCTGCGCGTCCCGCCGAATTTGGACGGATGTGGTCCTTCCCGGATCTCGAAGTGCATCGGATCGTCCCCGTGAGATCGCAGCAGACCCATCCCCGATCAACCATGGTTTTGGAAAATACGAAGCTCTGCCGGCGACTACAGCCGTTAGTCGCCTCAGGTTCCTGGTCGCAAGGATCCGACCTGGCCGTCCTTACCGTCCCACATAGACTTTCACGATAGGCAAAGTCGGCCCCCAATGGTTTCGTCTGCTCAGAACCCTGAAGCCTGAAACGCGTTCCCTCTACCCCGACCTTGGGCAATACGATACTGGAGAAAATAACGACGGAATTTGCAAGCGCATGTTGGTCAAGGGGGAAAATCCATGAAGAGAAGCTGCACAAGGTGACGCCAGGTCTAGCGTGCAAAGAATCAGGCCCGAGGCGAGTCTGAGCTAGACGTGCTAAACCGTCACCTGACACCTTGGGAACGGTGTTCTGTGCTATCTATTGCTAAGTGGAGGCTCTGCTCAGATTCCGAACGGTTCTAGCCCATCTAGCAGTGGAGAAACGGTGCATCGATATGGAAGAAGCTTAAACCACGAAAGATCGAATGCCAAGAGACGGCCGTTTGTCACTGGTGTTGACAGGACCAGTGGGCAGCAGTTCGCCTGATAAGAAGTTGACCGGGCGGTATCTGTTGCTGGCAGTCTGGGATCAAGCTAGCAAAGCAGCCAAACGGCAGGGCCGCCAATGTGTTCATCGCTTGGGCAGTGACATGACAAGCTGAAACAGCAACTTTGGACCCAGACGGATGGTCCACCTCCGAACAGAACTATACGATATCGCCAAACTTTTGGGTATCACCAAATTTCGTTTCTCTTGAAACACTCGCAGTACACTCAAGCTTTTAGGATAGGTGAACAGACCTTTGGCATGTCCTTTGTGCATCCCCGAAGACGACCCAAAGGAGAGCATGTCCTTCATCCTGTGCCTTGGATACAGACGTCCACACCAAGCGTTGATCTTTCGTCATGTCGGCAGAGCGAATGTTCTGACGACAGTGGCACAGAGGTGCCGATTGCGCAAACGGGACGATGGCCGTCACCGCTGCATGACGAGAAGAGGTTGACAGGATAGGATGAGAAGACGAGCTCAGGTCATCGAGAGAGTCATTCGACCCTATGAGTGATGTTCGACTCAAGCTTGGCTACGAATGAGGAAACCCTTTCCACACGGCGAGAACGCTCTGCAGCTTACAACTGCACCCTTTCGAAACACCACCAAAGGTTGGCGCATCTCTGGTGGTTCTCTACGACCGGGTATCGGAACAATCCCACTCCACACTGCCCTGGATTTTTGTACCGGACTCTCTCGCTTTGGCTGCCAGCGCTCATAAGCCTTTGGAAGAGGTGGTCAAGGGCCTGGGGGCCAATAAGACCTTGTCTTACAACGTGGGTGACTGGTGACTGCATCGGGAAGCCTTGCCAGGGTTGGAATGCCAATCAATCGAGACTAGCAGAGTCGCAAGCGATCTGCAAGGCACTGGCGCCGAAAGCTTCCCACCCACCATGCATCTTCCCAGCCGGTCAGCGCTAGTAACGCTGCTCTTCGGCTCGGAATGGAACTTGAAACTTGTCAACCAACCAGTACGGGTGGGCAGGGCAACATGGTGAGTCCATCGATAATTAGCATGCTACAAGCACTTTATTGGAACAATTTGGAGGGGCTAGGCAAGCCAAGGCAAGGTGGCACAGCACGCACATTGAGAGGGCACATAGAGGATGGATGCAAGTTTGGGGGAGCATCTTCCTGTGTCACACTCGCACGACTTGCGCCCTGCTGACTTCTTCTCCTTGGTGGTTTGAGGTACGTCTGCGCTTCGCCAATGGATAATTGCCTGAGGTGAGTCTCTTGAGTCCTGAGCCCTGCCCAAAGGGCTTTATCAACATGTTTGCGAGCCAATTTCACAGAGCGATATTGAATGGGGTCTATCAAAACAGTCCAACTTCATGGCCTTGGAAAGGAGGCGGCACGGATGGTCATGGAAATATCGTTACCGACATTCGCCTTACCTGAAAGAAACATTCCGAGCTGGTCTTTGGTAGATGTGTTGGTCCAAATGGGCTGAACAAACTGCAAGGGCCCGGGGTGGGCTTGCTGAAACATATTAGAAGGGGAGAGAGAGGCACAGGAGAAAAGAAAGCCAGCTCTGAGCCAAGCAAACCAGTGTTGGGAGCGGAGAGCCAATGTTTGGGTGATGTTCATCGTCAGGGTTCCGGTGTCTGCAGTCTGCAATTACCCCCAAATTTCCAGTCACCAACCCAACCATCTGCCCATTATTCTATTTCCTGCCTGGCACCAAAGTGCGTCTGAGTCTGCGGGGGCCGTTCATCAGCCCCTGTCATGCTGGCAGCAGTTTTGATCAAGGTCCTAGGTCAAGGGACGGACAGTCGAATACGGGACCTCGTAGAAGCCGTTGTCTTTCAAAACGCGCCTAATGGATTCCATGTGGTAAGAGTGAGTGGGTAAAGTGACGGACTCATCTGAGCGAAGGAGACAGCGCGCTTGGATGCAGAAGACGACTGGTAGAGCATCCGAGCTCACAGATGTCACTCACAACTCGCATCAGGAGCCCCTCAGCTGGACGTTGGTTGGGTCGGGGATGCAAGCCAGGATGTCTATGACGGGACAAGGTGCTTGTTCAACGGGCACGCTGAGAAAGGCCGACTGTTCACTGGCCCACAGCTTATGGCGGCCTGAAGCGAGGCCCCCATGGAATTCCGCCTCCACCACCTTAATGTTCAGCCCGCCAACATCAATGTCATCATGACCATCATCGTTACCATGGGCATCATATCCACTCAACACCAACATAGTCCGTCACACGCAAGTACCAAAAGACAATTTCTTTGGTGCCTGGGATAAATCAAGGCCTACCTCTCCCCAGGCTCGTGGTAGAGCAGGCTCATTTCCATCATTGAAACCAACAACAAGGCAGACGGACAGCTGTACGTCAAGAGGAGGCTAGATAGCCGCCGTTTCTGCCTCAGCCTCTGTTTCTACCAATGCTCTTGGTCATTTGTTTGGCAGAATTCTGACATGTAGTAACACTGCTTCTCTGTCTAACTTTGAGCTTCCCTCTTTCCACGACTACCGACTCGTCAGCCTTGCCCTGCTCTTTGAGCGGCTATCTGCATGTTCAGCAACATAAGTATCTGTACGCATCTGCGAGCTGCGTGCCCCTAAAAGCCCCCGAACTTGTTTGTATTCGCCGTTGGCACGTTTCTTTGGAGCGCGCAATCTATTTCTGATTGGCAGGGGCGAGATGGGTTTCCAAGGTGGCGCAGTGCATGGGAAAACAAAAGTCAGACATCGCCAACCGCCTATTTGTTTTTGTTCCATGCAATGTATGTGGTGGCCCAGAGTTCAGCGTTGCTACTCCAGTCTCGTCTGCCCAGTGGCAGCTAATGGATTTCCCTTCCCTTGCGCCCATCCCTCCCGTCGCTCCTGGCGCGAGCTCATCCGCCTGTCTTACCCTCCGCTGTTCCCGCACCAAATCCCAGCAAGCGAGATGCCAAATCGGGCAAGATGCCTACCAGGATTCTGGCCCTTCTCTGTGTGTTTCCTTTCCTCGCCTTGCAGCCCCTGCCGGCCCTTACAGCTACGGATACACTATCAAAAGTCCCGAGGTTGGTGCTTGCTTGGCTCGACCATGTCATGGAGATCTCTAGGCGTGGGACAGGGACTTAATTCGTAGCTATTGACCATCTATTCATCCTGACTGCGAATACTCAGAGTGAAGGAGGTTGTGTTCGCTTCCGCTTCCCGTACCGAAGTATCCGTACTCTACTCAATACTAGTAAGGTAAACTCCGTCGGCTATTGAGGCAATGGCCAGTCTCCTTGTCATTGAGTTGAACTTTCCTTTGCCCGTCACGACTCACGAAAGAGCAAGACGGTCCCTTCTACCTACCGCCTGCGAACTCACCTGCCTGCCTTGTCTCTTTGACGTTCCCCCCAACCCCTGGCCCTCC